TGGTGAAACTTCGTCTCTACTGAAAATACAAAAATTAGCCAGGAGTAGGGTGCACGCCTGTAATCACAGCTACTCAGGAGGCTGAGGCAGGATAATTGCTTGAACCTGGTTGAACCTGGGAGGTGGAGATTGCAGTGAGCTGAGATCACACCACTGCACTCCAGCCTGGGTGACAGAGTGAGCCTCTGTCTCAAGAAAAAAAAATAAAAAGGAGAGAGAGAACAGCTCTCTGCTACAGATAGGGGTCCTGGAAAAATGGGTTGCCCATCCAAGATGAAATGCAGAGGTTTTTATAGATGAGCTAGTGGGGAGGCAGTGTCCGATCTACATAGGGTATGACAAACTGGTTGGGACCAGGCATGCCATCTGCATAGTGTAACACCCCAATTTTTTTTTTTTTTTTTTTTTTGAGACAGAGTTTCCCTTCTGTTGCCCAGGCTGGAGTGCAATGGTACAATCTGGGCCCACTACAACCTCTGCCTCCCGGGTTCAAGCAATTCTCCTGCCTCAGCTTCTTGAGTAACTGGGATTACAGGCACACGCCCCCATGCCCTGCTAATTTTTGTATTTTTGGTAGAGACAGGGTTTCACCATGTTGGCCAGGCTGGTCTCGAACTTCTGACCTCAGGTAATCTGCCCTTCTCGGCCTCCCAAAGTGCTGGAATTACAGGCGTGAGCCACCGCACCCAGCCAGCCCCCCAATCTTTTATTATGCAGGTGGGCAGCTACTCCATGCCACTCATTTTTTTCTTACTGTGTATGTGCTAACTAAGAGGGACATGGAGCCCCAGGGTGGACATTCCTGGCCCCAGGGAGCCCTTTCTATCTGCGCAGCTGCCTCCATCTCCTGTGCAAGCTTCCAGCCTGATCTATGCTTGTAGCCTAATCTTCCAGGCTGCTCTTCATTAGAAAATAAGTGATTTCTTGGACTGCATTTTGCTTTTCTTTGTTTTGTGTTGAAATGGAGTCTCTCTCTGTTGCCCAGGCTGAGAGTGCAGTGGTGTGATCTCAGCTCACTGCAGCCTCTGCCTCCCAAGTTTAAGGGATTCTCCTGCCTCAGCCTCCCAAGTAGCTGGGATTACAGGCATCTGCCACCACACCTGGCTAATATTTATTTATTTATTTATTTATTTATTTACTGAGACTAACGCTCACTCTATCACCCAAGTTGGAGGGCAGTGGCGAGATCTCGGCTCACTGCAACCTCTGCCTCCCAGGTTCAAGCGCTTCTCCTGCCTCAGCCTCCTGAGTAGCTGGGATTACAGGTGCACACCATCATCTTTGGCTAACTTTTGTATTTTTAGTAGAGATGGGGTTTCACCATGTTGGCCAGGACGGTCTGGAACTCCTGACCTCAGGGTCAATCTGCCCGCCTTAGCCTCCCAAAGTGCTGTGATTACAGGTATGAGCCACCCTGCCCGGCCTGCTTTTTGTTAGAAGGAAAGTTCTGCTGAGGACTCTTTCGCCCTCATCATCTGCCTAAATAATTTCTTTCTATCTCCTGTATCACCACCACAGTGGGAGGAAGCTGCCGACTTGGGATGTGGAGGTGGGGGCAGAGGGTCCTCCAGCTGGGACTAAACAGAGTCCTGCCCCAGGCCTGCCTGATCATGGCATCTCCTGCCCCTGCCCAGGACTGAGGTCACAGGCATTGTGCCAGCCCATTCTGACTGGTGAGAGCCCAAACAGGGCACACGGGAACCCACACAGAATCAGAGAAGCCCCCAACAGGGGCTGGGAGCAGTCCCCTGGGCACCATTGGCCCACGGAGCCTCGCCGGGGGTGCAGCTGCTGGTGTCCTGGGGTGGTCTCCACTCTCGTGATGGTGCCGGCATCTGTGCTTGTGGTGTTGGTGTGTGCGTGTGTGCGCAGGTGAGAGTGTCAGCTGAGCGTGCACACGTCTGGTGTTCATGCGTGGGTGAGCTCATGCCCGTGCTGTCCCGGGTCAGTGACAGGCAAGCATCGTGTGGGCCATGGACTGGATGTGGGTTTGGGTAGTAGGGACACAGTGACCCCTAAACCCAAAACCGTCCCTGGCTCTTGGGTGGGGAGGGGAGAGGCTGGCACAGCTTCCCTTTGGCTGTTCCCGCCTCCCTGGTTCCTACCCCGTGGCCCCTGCCCCATGCGCCTTCTCCATGTCTGGCACTGCCCTTCCCTGTGTGGGGCCCGGGTCCCCACTCCTTGGGTCTCAGCTCTCAGGCTGCCCTCCAGGCCCTCCGAGGACACCCTGTGGGTGTTTGTCCCTGTGTGACTGGGGCACCACATACAGCAGGATGTGCTGAGGCTGTACGCCTGGGCCCCACAGTCAGACAGATAGACAGAAACATGGATGGACAGACCGGCAGCTGGTGGCCAGCGCAGGCTGCCGAGAATTGGCGGAAGTGGGGCGGGTGGCCGGCGGGCGGCCTGGCAGATCCTGGAAATCCTCGCTTCCTGTTTTCCCAACAAAGGGCCTCTGTCCCCCCAGGAAGGCCACTGGCTGGCGGCAGTGGACGGACATTCCTTTTCCGTAAACAGGATTGTTTTCCTTTTCTCCTCTGGACACAATAACAGCAGCCCCCATGCCCCCCATCCTGTCTCCTGTCACCACCAGCCACGGAGCCTGGACATTGTGGACGGGTAGGGGGTCCACAGAGCAGGCTCTCCTGGACCAGTTGCCCATCCTGTCACCCTGGGAGTGGGAGTCACAGTGGAGGTCATAGCCTTGTTGACAGCAATGAGGCCTCCAGGGCAAGGAGTAGGAATGCAGTGACGTCTGCCCCACAGGGCAGGTGGGAGGCTGGACCAGCCTTGGGCTGGGGGACCCTGTGAGCCTCATGGCCCGAGGCGGCAGTGCTTGGGGCAGAGGCCAGGCTTGGTTCTCTGCAGGGGCTGGGCCTCCCTCCAGGTGGACCTCCCCCCAGGCTGGCTTTGGGCGAATGTGTCTGACTTCCAGAAGCCTCAGAGTAGGACCCAGGAGTAGCTAGAAACTCCCAGGGGACCCTGGGCAGTGGTGGGAGGAGCAAAGAAAAAACCTCCAGAGACATTCGGGGCCCTCCCCTGCCGCAGGAGACTCTGTGAGGGCTGCAGGGACAGCCTGGGTCTGTCCAGTGCAGATGGTGTGGAGGGGCAGGAGTGGCACAGTTCCTGTGTGCACGGCTCTGAGTGAGTGCAAGTGTGACTGCTGTGCTCACCCAGGCAGCCGGGGCCTGAATGGGCCTGTGTGAGGGGCTGGGGCTATTTATAGCCGTTTCTAGCCCAGAGGAGCTATTAATAGCCAGGGTTGAGGGGGACGGACAATGTCTCCTGCTGGCCGCTGCCTGCGGGTGGGGTGGGGGTGGGTGCCATTCTGCGCCTGGAGACACCCGGGGCTGGTACCCCAGCCCCCACCCAGGCTGCGGCACAAGGGCCACTGTTTTCTGGTCAGCAGCTGAGCCAGGGGTCTGCATTCACCTGGGACAGCAGGCTGGGGGTACACCAGGCTACAGCCCCCACCCCACTCTCCCCAGAGGCCATTCTGCAGCCACACTGACCCTGAGGATGGGATGGTGGGCGTGTGAGCTGGCGGCAGCAGGGCCCCCGGGATGGAGAGGGATGCTGAGACCAGGACCCCCATATCTGGTTCTCAGATTGCAGCGTGGGGAAGGGGTAAGGAAGCGCTGTGGGGACCTCACAGCCACAGCCAGAAGTGGATTTAAGAGAGGCTGGCCCTGCAGGCCCCCCAACCTGCCTCTGGCAGGACAACCAGGTGTCCCTGAAGTAAACAGGTGAACTGAGGCCAAATCAGACAGGCCTTGGAGCCACTGGAGAGGTGTGGATGGGGTGGTGTGGGTGGAGGAGAGCCCTGCCGGAATTCAGGCTGGTGGGTGGGCCTGGCAACAGGTAGCCTCATAGCCCCCTGTCCTGGCTAAGGCTCATTCCCTCTGATCATTTTTGGAAAAAAAAAAAAAAAGTGGCGCCCAGCTTGTACAAAGATCCCGACCTCACTAAGGGTGAAGCATGACCTGGGCGGGGCCGGAGGCACCCCTCCAGGCCTTGGCTGCACCCGGCTCCCTGTGCCACACGCGTCCCCAGCATCAAGGGGCGCACCCCTCCACCTCTCCCTAAGCCCAGCCAGGCTGCAGAAAAAACAGGAAAGCTCGGAGGCCCCGCCAGGCGCGCTGTGGGCCGGCTGTGTCCCGAGCCCACCGCCGGGCCTGGGGGATCTGGGCACGCAGGTCCTGGCTTCCACCCCGGGGGATGTTCGGCGGCGGCGGTGGCGCTCATGCATCTCATTCGGCGCCACCTTCCGCGGGGCCTCCTTTCCTTCGGGGAGTCCCCGCCCGCGGGGCCGTGACTAAGCGGAGTCACCTGCCGCCAAGGGCTTTCCAAGAAGGTCAAGGCCAACCGCGCTCCGGCCCACGCCCCAGAACTCGGGCTGTGCCCTCACGGCCATCGTCCTGCGCATCGTCATTGCGCCCGCAGGTGGTTCCCAGCGACGAGGAGCGCGGGGGCGGAGAAGCGGGGGAGGAGCGCGGGCGGGTCTCTGTGGGGCTGGGCACGGGCTGCAGGTCCCCAACCCTGCTCACCCCAGGCCCCACCCCCTCCACCCCTGCTAACCCCAGGCCCCACCCCCTCCACTCCTGCTTCTCTCGGACCCCCACCCTCCCCTCCGCCCCTGCTCCTCCTGGACCCCCACCCTCCCCTCCGCCCCCACCCCTGCTCACCCCAGGCCCCACACCCCCACCTCTGCTTCTCCTGGACCCGCAGCCTCCCCTCCTCCGCAATCCCTACTCCTCACAGACCCTCCACCCTCCCCTCCGCCCCCACCCCTGCTCCTCCCAGACTCCCACCCTCTCCTCCGCCCCAACCCCTGCTCCTTCTGAACCCCCCCTCACTCTCCCCTTTGCCCCACCCCTGCTCCTCGCACATCCCCACCCTCCCCTCCGCCCGCACTCCTGCTCCTCCCGGACCCCCACCCCTCCCCTCTGCCCTTACTCCTCCCGGACCCCCACCCTCCACTCCGCTCCCACCCTGCTCCTCTCCGCTCCCCCACTCTCCCCCGCGCCCTCCGCCCCCAACACCTGCTCCTTCCTAGACCTTTATCCCCCTGTCCCAGTCCCTGAGCCGGTCTCTGCCCCAGTCTGGCTCTTCACTGCACCCCGGCGCCTCCATTGCTTCCCCTCCCCCCACCTCCTCGTGGCACCCCCATCTGCTCCCCGCCCCCTCTAGCCGGGGAAAGGCCAGCTGACGCTTCCGGCACCGCCCCTTTCCCGGCAGGGCCGCGCCCCGAGCTTCCCGCCCGCGGGAGCAACACCGCCCCCCGCGCCCCACCCCTCGCCCCGCCGCCCGCCGGGGTCTCCCAAGCCCGCTCTGCGCAGGGCGGGGTTCTTCCTCTGCAGCGGGCAGACCGTGGACCCGGGCGCCGGACAGAGGCTGGAGGGGGGCCTAGGTGGGGGGAATCCCCGGTGGCTGTCCGGCTCCCCACCCCCACCGCGGCCACCAGTCACCGCTCCCAGGCGGGACCCCGAGGCTTGCGGGTGACTCTCGAGTGGTGGCCGCCCTGTGGCCCAGAGAGCCCGGTCGCAGGCGGGTGGGTGAGCGCAGAAGGACGCTGGCCCTGGACTGCTGTTTGAGGGGTAAGGGACCAGGTACCCCTCCCTGGCTCTGGGGGGATCCTCCCAACGTCCAGACTGTGGGGAGAGCGGACCCTGCTGGCAGCTGGGAAAGGTCTCTCCGGAAGGATCCCCCAGGAGTGGGTGGAGGGGGTCTCTGGAGAGGTGGGTGCCGTGCAGCCCCCTCAGGCCAGGCCCGGCTCCTCACTGGTGCAGAGCAGCCGGCTTGGGGTTTCAGAAGACCCCAGCCCCAGGGAGGCGGGGAGGGGCACTGGGCCTGGAGGGGGTGTGTGTGGCTTGAGAGCGGGGGGGCCCCACCAGCCACATCACAGCAACCCTTTCTGGGCCCCGATGCCGTCCCCCACTCCCCTGCAGTACCTGGTCCCTTCCAACCCCCCAACCCCCAGGGCCCACCTGGCACAGGCTCAGTCCACACCCGCGTGCTGGCCATGGGCACATGGGGAGGACGGCAGGGCCTCTGGGCCAGGGCCCCCCATCCTGAGTCGCGCCACTGATGACCACCTGTCCCAGGTGGCAGGCAGGGTCCTCATCCCAGGCCTGCAGGGGCCTGGGAATCTGAAAAGGGACAGAGCCGGAGCAGGGGGGCTGAGGAAGCAGTGGGGAGCAGGCTGAGGAGGGCACCTTGCTGAAGGTCATACCCTTTGAGTAACCATCTGGGGGCCAAAGGCCCACCCCCCTCCTCACAGCTCAGCACGCTGGAGCAGTCTCAGGCTGCCTCACCTCACCCAGCCCCTGGGTCAGCTGAGGACATGGCTGAGGCGCTGCCGCCGCCTGCCGCTCTGGAGCCAGCCACAGACAGGCAGCGCCAGGGAGGTGTGCAGGCAAAGGCTCTCGCTCTGTCCAGCGGGCACCACTGGCAGTGGACAGCGACGGGGAGGGGCCTGCACTCTTGCGGTGAGTGAGCCTGGGGTGAGAGTCCGGGGGGCACAACCTTGAGAACAGTGTCCTCGGTGGGCTGCTGGTGCCCGCCCCTGAAGCTCTGGAAAAGCAACAGAAAACTGCATGGAGAGGCCAGGAGAACACACACAGACTCGGTGGCCAGAGGGGCCGGCTCCCAATAGGTGACCCTACTCCTGGGGGTCTGCTGTGCTCGGGCCACAGTGCTGGCTGGGAAGAAACAGGATGTCTCCAAACCGTGCCTCCTCCGTGGGAGAGGCTGGCCCCCTCTCCCAGCTCCCCAGGACCTGCCCGAGACCCTCCTGGAATTAAGTTGCAGTGTATCCTGGTGGGGATGTGCTGGCCCAGTGACAAAGGGGCCACAGCCTGAAGGAGCCCAGGACCCGCAGCCGTGCCCGGCCAGATAAGCTGCGTGGGGTGGACGGTGGAGAGCTTGTGGGTTGTGGATCCTTTTCTGAGGACGAGGACCCCAGGAGGCGGTGTCCTCTGCTGCTCTGTTTCACGGTTCAGAGGCTCCTGGAGCGCGGGACACACGTGAAGAGGGGTGAATGTCAGAACAGCCACCCCAGACGGGGGCTGAAAGGCCTGTGACACCACGGATCCGGCCGTCCTCTGGAACTGAGAGCAGGGGACGGTCACAGCACTGGACTGGCTGACAGGGACAGGGGTGGCAGCCAGGCGGCAGCGTTTGACCATCAGTGGCTGTGGAGGCAGCTCTAATTAGAGTTGCAGGGCTGGAGTGGGGCCAAGGGCCAGAGCCGCGTGGGGTTGTGGAGGTAACTGGTAGAACACCATGTTCCTAGGAGAGGGACAGGCAGCCCACAAGAGACTGCTCAGCTTGTTGGAGCAGAAGAAATCAGGATTGTGTGATGGGGAGGCCAAGGGCACTCTCTCCAATAAAAAGTCATGGCCAGTTGCGGTGGCTCAAGACGGAAATTGCAGCATTTTGCGAGGCCAAGGCAGGTGGATCACCTTGAGATCGGGAGTTCAAGACCAGCCTGCTCAACATAGTGAAACCCCATCTCTACTAAAAATACAACAATTAGCTGGGCATGGTGGCAGGTGCCTGTAATCTCAGCTACTCAGGAAGCTGAGGCAGGAGAATTGCTTGAATCTGGGAGGTGTTGCAGTGAGCTGAGATTGCGCCACTGCACTCTAGCCTGGGCAACACAGAGAGACTCTGTCTCAAAAATAAGTAAATAAGGCCGGGCGTGGTGGCTCACACCTGTAATCCTAGCACTTTAGGAGGCTGAAGTGGGCAGATCACGAGGTCAGGAGTTCAAGACCAGCCTGACCAACATGGTGAAACCCCGTGTCTACAAAAAATACAAAACTTAGCTGGGCGTGGTGATGCATGCCTGTAATCCCAACTACTTGGGAGGCTGAGGCAGGAGAATTGCTTGAACCCAGGAGGTGGAGGCTGCAGTGAGCCGAGATTGTGCCACTACACTCCAGCCTGGGTGACAGAGTGAGACTCTGTCTCAAAAATAAATAAATAGGGTCGGGCGCAGTGGCTCACACCTGTAATCCCAGCACTTTGGGAGGCAGAGGCGAGCGGAGCACGAGGTCAGGAGATCGAGACCATCCTGGCGAACACGGTGAAACCCCGTATCTACTAAAAATGCAAAAAATTAGCCGGGCATGGTGGTGGGCACCTGTGGTCCCAGCTACTTGGGAGGCTGAGACAGGAGAATGGCGTGAACCTGGGAGGTGGAGCTTGCAGTGAGCCGAGATCATGCCACTGCACTCCAGCCTGGGCAACAGAGCCAGACTCTGTCTCTCTCTCTCTCTGTGTATATATATATACACACACACATACATATATATACATATATACACACACACACACATATATATATGTCATGACGCTGCCCAGTTTCTAGACCTGAGTGGGTTTCTGACCCAGAGAACAGTCACCGAAGTGAAGGCTGAGTCCCTCAGAGGAAGATGTGCAACCAGTTATTTTGGGCTGTTGCAAAAATAACCCAGCTAGATGCGGTGCCTTTGCTAGAGAGGGCTCCCCAGCCTGCCCAGGTGTGTGGTGAGGCCACTGCTGGGTGCGCATTCTTCTCCATCTCCTGCCTGGCAGGAAGATCAGTCACACTGCCTTGGAACTCAAAACAGGAAACAGCCAGTTCCTCCCCAGAGCTATGGGCTATGGTAACATTCCTGCCTCTCTCCCAAGAATCCAGAGACCTGCACCAGCTGAATGAATGTCCCCAGGACGTCATACTGGCCCCCTCTATCGATGGCCCTGTGCTAATGAGACCAGATGAGCAAGACATGGTGAGCACACTGGGCCCTCCTGAGTGAGAGAATCCCCTCCAAAGTAGAGGACAGATAAGTGACTGCCTCTCGCAGCCCCCGCCAGGACACACAGCACCTGGAAGGCTTCTGGGAACTTGAAGAGCATATTCCACATTTGGGGACTCTGTTCCAACCCAATACTGGGGGACATGAAAGGACAACTCTGAATAGGCACAGAGCAGAACCAGCTCTACCGCCATCCAAGCCCAGCTCCCGTGTCCTGGCTGCTACTTGACAATCTGACCCTGCAGACCAAAGGCACGGGTGGTAAGGGGTGGGGGTTTAAAGTCAAGTGCCCATGGAAGACCCTCCCCACAGTCAGGTGCAGAGGAGGGCCGTGCTATCCGCAGTGGGTGTTGCGTGCCTGCATCGAGGACTCTTGCCGTGGTTCTGGGCCCCTGCGGAGATGCACGGCCTGGCCATGGGATGCCCCATGGGTGTGTCTCTGCCTTGCCTGCTGGCACTGGCTCTTAGACCAGCCCCACCATGAGGCTGAGCAGGCAGTGGTCGTCTTCAGGGGGATGTGGTACATCCAGGACAGCAGGAGGCAGCACGCATAGGTTGTCCCGGCCTGTGTGGACCCCACCCCGTGATTGGTGTTCCCAGAGCAGACCCACATTCACACCATTGCCGCCTCCCTGTCTAACACAGCTTGGCTGAGTTCCAGGCCACTGTCCAGGGACTGCCATGAGCGTCTGTCCGCCTTGGTGTCAGCGGGAGCTGGCTCGTCCTCTGGTGGGGGCCGTCCTCTGGTGGGGGCTGTCCTCTGTGGCAGGGTGTCCTGTGCCCTGGCGGGAGCACTCCTCACCAGGTCGTGACAACCCACAGCACCTCCAGAGGTGGTCCCCTGTCCCCTGGGGGACACGACAGCTGCCTATTGAGAACCGCTGGCTCACAGAACATCTCATCCTGTGGATCCCGCCCAGTGTCTGTTGCATTGGACCAAGGGACGCGTTTACAGCAAAGTCCGGGGTAGGCCTGACCAGGGGCATTTCTAGAAGCTTCTAGCCTGACAAGGCATGCCCTGTGGGGATGGAAGCCACCTCCAGGACCTGTGTATGTGCCAAAGCAAGATGCCGGGGTCTGGGAACCAAAGTGGAGGCCCTCTAGGCCCTGCAGTCCCCAGTCCCGGCTCCCACAGGGTGGGGCTCCCCCAGGGCTATGGCAGAGTCTCTGCCTGGGCCCAGAAGGACAGCGGAGGTCCACAGTTCACCCCAACCTCGCTCTTCCAAGTTCCCCTTTTAGAAAGAGGCCCTGGCAGCGCAGAGGTGCGACGGGGCAGGTGCAGTGGGCAGGAGCCGGCCGAGTCCCGGGATCCGAGCCGGGCAGGGCGGTCCCACAGCGCCACCTGTCGGCCGCGCGCGCCCAGGTCCTCGGCCCGGGCTGGGCGACTCCGAGGGGCGGGAGAGCGTGTGCGGCCCCGCGGTCCGCCAGCTGGGCCCGGGCAGGGGTCGCAGTCTGAGGCTGGGTCCGCTGCGTCGGGCGGGAGCTGGCGGGGCGCGGGCGGCACCGCGTGGGGAGGGGCGGGCCAGAGTCCCCCCAGGAGGCGGCGCTCCCGGTCCCAGCTCCAGCCTCAGCCCCGCAGGCGCCCCTTGAGCACCTGGGCAGGTGGACCCCAGCCCCACGGTCCCAAGGACCCTGCCTATGCCCTCGCCCCTGCCCCGGCCCCGGCTCTGCCCGCGGGGTCCCGCGGGGTCGTCCCCCATTCCTGCTCAACCGCCCCCGCCAGCCCCTGTCCCCCATGTCCTACGGGGACCCCTCCTGGCTGGCCCCGACCCCCCGCTGAGGACTCCCTAGCGTTCACTGGCGACAAGGTGGAGACTGGGGTCGTCCCTGCTGCACGCCCGGGATCCTGCTCCCAGGGTCCGGAACCGGGGCCCCTGCCCTGTACACCTGTCCTCGACGCCCCCAGCCTGGACATGGGGGTCAGTAGTACCAGGACGGTGCATGGTCAGGGAAGGGGAACTAGGGCAGAAGCAGGACAGAGGTATCGGCTGAAAGGTAGGGCGGGGGTCCCAGACCCGGCTGCAGTCCTACCTGATTGATGGCGGCTCCACAGGGCTGAGCAGGGCAGGGACGTGAGGGACATGGGAGACGCCTGTCTGCGCACGTGGGGGTGCACAAGGTGGCCCTGGGCCAGCCCCTGCCTGGGTCCTCCTCCCTGGCTGTGCCCTCTACTCCTCCCCCAGGTACCCCCCAGGGACCAGGCCTGCCTTCAGGGCTTCCCGCTGGGGTCGCTTAGTTCCCGCCCACCCATGGGTAGCTCCACCCTCCCACAGGAGACTCAGGTGCTTGGCCCCCCAAGGCCTCAGCTGGTGTTCCCCCACTTCTTTCCATGGCCATCCCTGTGGACTCTCTGCCATGCTCTGACCCCACTTTCTGAGTCCCCCAAGGGCCCACACAGCCCCTGCCCCTCTGGCCTCTGCCCTTGGTCTGCACGGCCAGGACCCCATCTCTAGGTGGTTCCATTGGCGCGTGAAGCGGAGACTGCCTGAGAGGACTGCAGTGGACAAGAGCAGCCCCCATCTCGCCCAAGCTGAGCTGTGCCCCCTCCAGGGATTTGGGACGCCCTGGCCTAGGGTTAGAGGGAGAGGGGGAGAGGCAGTGAGGCTGCTGAGTGCAACTGACTCAGGAAGAACCAGAGGCGAGATGCAGGGCCAGGCACCACTCACCACTCAGCCTGCCAAGTGGGCTGTGGCCGCCTCTGCCTGTCAGGGACCCACAGGGCAGAGTCCTACAGCAGGGCTCTTCCAATACCCAGGTGAGCATGACCACCTGGAGCCCAGTGAGCACAGGTGCACCGAGGTGGGGTTCATGGGCACAGAACAGTGTGGACATGGGGGTCAGTAGTGCCAGGACAGTGCACAGCCTGGGAAGGGGGGCCAGGGCAGGAGCAGGACAGCCAGCCACCTACCCCTGGGGGACATCGGCATGGACAGGAGGGACGGCGTGACTGAGGAGTGGGTGAGGGGGACCAGGCCAAGTGGGAGGCCCAGGGAGGAAGCCGTGGCCCCTCAGAACGGAGCTCCCAGAGCCTGCAACCTCTCACCCGCAGCCAGCTTTCTTCTTGGAGTGTCTTCATTCCCAGGTGAGGAACAGACGGGTTTTGTGATTGGCTGTTTCCTCCAGCAAAGCCCCCAAAGATGCCTTTCCTCTGCCCGAGGGTCCCTGCTTGTACATCCTTTGAATGACTGAAGAGGGGCCCATAGGTTGGACCCCTGAAACCCACCTGGTCACGTCTTTAGGTTCTCGCCCGAGGGAGGGGGAGGGGGAGGGCCCTCCCCTACTCCTCTCCTCCCTCCTTCCCTCCTCCCCTCCTCCCCCAAGCAGCACGTGAGTCCTGTTCAGGGACAGCAGAGCCACCAGCCCAGGACCGGACCTACTGCCTCTGCAGACCTCGGCAGCCCTGGTCACCTCCCAGCTCTGGCAGGACAGGTGCAAACTCAGTGGTAAAGGTCTGTCCTGATTAATGAGACAAACCCATACCCGTTCTCCTGATTACCTTCAACGGTCAATTTTATTACAAAGAACTGTATCAAAATATACAAGTCTGTTTAAGAACAACCAAGAAATGCAGCTGTTTAAGGGCCAAATGAGAATCAACCATTAGAGACCAGGCAGCTTCTCCCTCCCGCTGTCCACTGCAGGGAACACATCCTCGGGGCCACAATTTCCACAGGACGTCCTTCTGAATAATTTAAAGGGCAAGTCTAGCACATTACAGGTCTTCGTGGGCGGGCAGCTGTGTCGGGCTTTCTTCTTCTGTGGCTTCTGTCAGAAAACAAGCACAGGTAGTCAAAGCTTGGCACGAAGGGCCCTGGGGACGAGGCCTTTCCCGGGACAGCAGCAGCAGGTGCAGGGACTGCCTGTTCAGTCCTGGCTCAAGGCCCCGGACGCAGTGGTCCAAGGGCAGCTCGGAGACCCCCGGTTCCCCCGACAGCAGATGAGAGATGAGGCAGAAGGGATTTCAAAGCCGCCACACTGCCTTGGGTGTGGAGGATGCGGAGATGGGAGCGGCAAGGGGTTCCTTGCAGCCCAGTAGAATGGGAGCCTGAGCAATGGTGGTGGGGGGAGGAGAAAGAGGGGACCCAGGGTGGTGGTAGGAGGGAGGGGCAAGAGGGGACCGAGGGTGGGGGGGGGGGGGGGGACAAGAGGGGACCAGGGGGGGGGGGAGGGAGGGGCAAGAGGGGACCGAGGGTGAAGGGAGGGAGGGGCAAGAGGCAGGGCCGGCCCAGGGCAGAGGGGACCGAGGGGGTGGCAGGCAGCCTTGTCGTCTTGCCTGTCTGTCCCTGCCGACCCCTCAGTTCTCCTGTCTTGCTGTTGCTGTTTACTACAATGCTTCTAGAGGTGGAATTGCTTTTATTTGTCCTGCTCAGGAAACAGCTTCTGGAATCTGAATCCTGCCTTATTCATTCTGAAAAACCCTTAGCCAACATCTCCTTGAATGCTGTTTCTTTCCCACACTCTATATTCTAGACTTCTGTGAGGACTGTCATGGGCAGAGCTGTGTCCCCCAAAAGATGCTGAAGTCTTTACTCCCAGCACCTGGGATTGTGACCTTGTTTGGAAATAGGGTCTTTAGAGATGGCTAAGTTAACACGAGGGCATTAGTGACTAGTGTCCTTACGAAGAGGGGAGGTTTGTACAGACACCGCATGGGACTATGTGAAGACACGGGGAGCAGGTGGCGTCCCCAGATAAGGACAGAGGCCCGGAATAGACGTGCCTGCCCAGCCTTCCAAGGAAGCAGCCTGCTTGCATCTGGGCCTCTGACTTCTGGCTCCAGATCTGTGAGAGGCACATTTCTGTTGCTGGAGTCCGAGTCCCTGGTTCTTGGTAAGGCAGCTCCAGGAAACAGGTATGGGGGACCTGCTTGCCCTTCACCACTTCCTGCCAGTCCCTGTCTCTGTGGCACCCTGGGCAACTTCCCCAGATGACTTTTCCAGCTCCTCAGCTGCCTCTTCTGTGTCTGCTCCTCCTTGCCTGCTGAGGTTTGAGGTTCAGAGACTTCCCCTTTCATCGCCTTAACTTCCGTTTGAGCTGTGAACCTGGGGCTTCATCCTCAGGAAGCCGGTACCTCTCTGCGCAAGTGTGCCCACACAGAGGTGTTATGCACCTGTCTTCCGGGAACCCCCCTCTCACTATCCCAAGGCCACTGTCTGTGTGGATTTCAGACCAAGCAGCCAGTCTACCTGCAAGCCCTGAGGTCCAGGGGATGGCAGCCCATGTTGGGGGAGCTTGTGTGGAGAGAGCCTGTGTGGAGGGAGCCTGTGTAGGGGTCAGTCTGTGTGGGGGGAGCCTGTGTGGAGGGAGCCTGTGTAGGGTTCAGTCTGTGTGGGGGGAGCCTGTGTAGGGTTCAGTCTGTGTGGAGGGAGCCTGTGTGGGGGGAGCCTGTGTGGGGGGCAGTCTGTGTGGGGGAAACCTGTGTGGAGGGAGCCCGTGGGAGGCCCGTGGTGGGGGAGCCTGTGTGGGGGAGCCCATGTGGGGGAGCCCGTGTGGAGGGAGACCCGTGTGGGGGGCAGTCTGTGTGGGAGAAACCTGTTGTGGGGGAAACCTGTGTGGAGGGAGCCCGTGTGGGGGGAGCCCGTGTTGGGGGAGCCTGTGTGGAGGGAGCCGCGCCACTCACCAGCCTCTGCTGGCGGCACACAGGCATCTTCAGTTTCTTCGAAGCCATCGGGACACACGCAGACGTAGCTCCCTGGAGTATTGTAGCAGTTTTCGTTTTTCCTCACACAGGGTTTTTCTGCTAGTGAGCACTCATCTACATCTAAAATTAAAAGACTCAGTTTTAATAATTACTTCACTTAGCAGATGTGCAGCAGATTGTGAAACTCATTCATTCAGATTCACTCACATAAAGAAAGCACAATGATGACAAACGTCACGTTACAGAAGGGAGCAAAGGTCAGGAAAGGCTTCAAGAGGGCAGAATTTCATGTCTCAAAGTTGGGCCCTCAACTGGTAGAAAATGCAGAGAAGAGACCTCCAGGTGAGGCCAGAAGGCTGGCATGTACCCAGGAAGCCCACTTTCTTTTCTTTTTTTTTTGGAGACGGAGTCTCGCTCTGTCGCCCAGGCTGGAGTGCAGTGGCACGATCTCGGCTCACTGCAAGCTCCGCCTCCCGGGTTCCCGCCATTCTCCTGCCTCAGCCTCCCGAGTAGCTGGGACCACAGGCGCCCGCCACTACGCCCGGCTAAGGTTTTGTATTTTTAGTAGAGACGGGGTTTCACCATGTTAGCCAGGATGGTCTCGATCTCCTGACCTCGTGAACCACCCACCTCAGCCTCCCAAAGTGCTGGGATTACAGGCGTGAGCCACCACGCCTGGTCAGGAAGCCCACTTTCTCCACGTGGATTCCAGCCACGCCCAGGCTCACCCAGGCAGCCCACAACCATGGCAGGCCTGGCCTTAAGCCTCGAGGCCAGCACCACCCAGGAGCTGGAGAGAAAGCAGAGGCTCTGGACCTGGGGAACGAGGCCACTGGGGAGAGGCTGGTGCAGCAGTGACATCCACACCTGGGTCGGCCATGCAGAGCCCATCCCCCACCCCCACTGCTTCTGCATCTCTTGGACCTCAGGGTGAGTGCGCAGTAACCCTGGGGAGCTGCGTCTGCAGGACGGGTCTCAGCTGCTTCCTATCCCTGGCAACACCTCCTGGGGCCATTCATATCATGGTCCCTTGGGAAGGGTCCACCTGCGTCCAGCACAGACCCCGTCACTGACCTGCATGTCACTGACCTGCACACTGTCCATGCTCCCTCACGTAGCCGGGGATACACTCTTTACAGTTTCCTGGGCCTTCCCCTGTGCAGCCCACACAGCTGGAGTCACACTCTGCAACAGGGAGCCGGTGTCGGACCCCCACACGCCGGGGAGCCTCTAGCATGGGACCCCCACACTCACTGCAAGCTCCGCCTCCCGTGGCTCGCCATTCTCCTGCCCCTCAGCCTCCCGAGTGCTGGGACTACAGGCGCCGCCACTACGCCCGGCTAAGGTTTTTTGTATTTTTAGTAGAGACGGGGTTTCACCATGTTAGCCAGGATGGCTTTGATCTCCTGACCTCATGAACCACCCACCTCAGCCTCCCAAAGTGCTGGGATTACAGGCGTGAGCCACCACGCCTGGTCAGGAAGCCCACTTTCTCCACGTGACGCTCCCAGCTACACGACGCCTGAGCTCACCCAGGCAGCCCACAACCATGGCAGGCCTGGCCTGGGCTTCCGAGGCTAAAAACCACCCAGGAGCTGGAGAGAGGTGCTCAGAGGCTCTGGACCTGGGGAACGAGGCCACTGGGAGAGGCTGGTGCAGCAGTGACATCCACACCTGGGTCGGCCATGCAGAGCCCATCCCCACCCCACTGCTTCTGCTCTTGACCTCTGTGGGCAGGAGTGCAGTAACCCTCCCCTGGGGGGAGCGGCGCCTGCAGGACGGGTCTCAGCTGCTTCCTATCCCTGGCAACACCCTCCTGGGGTCCATATCATGGTCCCTTGGGAAGGGTCCACCTGCGTCCAGCACAGACCCCCGTCTACTGACCTGCATGTCACTGACCCTGCACACTGTCCATGCCTCTTCACGCAGGGGGATACACTCTTTACAGTTTCCTCGGCCTTCCCCTGTGCAGCCCACACAGCTGGAGAGTCACACTCTGCAATAGGGAGCGGTGCGTCAGACTCACACGCTCGTGGGAGCTCTCTAGTATGGGACTCCCACACGCCGGGAGCTCTCTAGCATGGGACTCTAATACTAGGGAGTCGGCGGTCGGACCCCCACACACGCCGGGGAGAGCCTCAGCAGCTGGGACTCTGCGCCACACTAGGGAGCCTTCTAGCATGGGACCCCCACACGCCGGGAGGCCGCGCCAGACCCCCACACGCCGGGAGCCTCTAGCATGGGAACCCACACATCGCTGGGAGCCGGTGTCGGACCCCCACAGCCCTAGCACAGGGACCCCCACACGCTGGGGAGCCTCTAGCATGGCTTCCAGTGTAGGGGCTCACTGAGGGTCCTGCTGTCTGCACTCCCAACAGTGAAAACTGCCTGGGGCTGTCACAGAGGCTCCTCCCTGCTGCTGGGACTGGGGATCGGCACAACTCTTCTGGGGCACTGTGGCCCTAAAAGACACATTCCCTTGACTGAGCGATTTGGAAATTAATCCAAAGAAAATCATAAGGAATGTGAAAAGTTTTACCTTCAAGAGTATTCACAGTTGATAACAGTTGAAAAATTGTTATGACGTAAATGTCCAGCAATAGACATTGTTTTAAACGTATGAAACAATGGCATGCTCCAAAATCATTAACATGATGGAGAAACCACAGGACGCAGGACAAGCTGCTGGGTGGAAAACACCGACAGGTGCTGTGGAAAATCACACAGGGCACGTTGCGGGGGCGCTGGGAGGCACGAGCAGGGTGCGCTCTCCAGGGAACTCGTGGGTTTTTAATTTTCTTTAACTTACTTGAATTTTCTGATTTTCCTACAGCAAATACCTATGACTTATTTTGCCACACTAAGTGTTCTCAGAGCAGGCAGGAGGTATATAAGTGATGCTAAGAAGTCATAAATGAATGTTTACAAAGGCAGCAATGAAACCCAGGAGGGCCCCGGAGTGCAGGCCCGCCCGCTTGACCCACCTTCGCACGTGTAGGAGCCGTTGGCATTTTTACAGAACTGTTCGGCGCTGCAGGGAGGTGTCTCGGCCGCACACTCGTCCACATCTGGAACAGAATGGCACAGCTGTGAGTGGCCCAGGACGGCCTGGCCAGGGAGCAGGAGAGGAATGATCATGGCCTGATACAGCCCACGGCCAGGACCGGCTGGGGAAGGGCAGGGAGGAGGGCAGCCCCTGGGGGGATCATCTCAAAAGCCCTCCTCGGAGGTCCCATGTGGCAGGGGAGGGGATAAGGTGATGGCCAGGCCCTGTCCTTAGAGAGTCAGTGCCAACTGTGGCAGGGGCCCCATGAGGATGGTGACGCATCGCGTGAGGGTGAGACAGTGAGAGCCTCCACACCTCACGCCCGCACATCCCTCTCCCTTCTCCCCAGAGCTGTGGAACCTGCCAGGGGCTGAGCTCCAGTTTTTTTTTTTTTTTTTGAGACAGAGTCTCGCTCTTTTGACCAGGCTGGAGTTCAGTGGCGCGACCTTGGCTTACTGCAAGCTCCGCCTCCCGGGTTCACGCCATTCTCCCGCCTCAGCCTCCTGAGTAGCTGGGACTACAGGCGCCCGCCACCACGCCCGGCTAAGTTTTTGTATTTTTAGTAGAGATGGGGTTTCACTGTGTTAGCCAGGAGTGTCTCGATCTCCTGACCTCGTGATCCACCTGCCTCAGCCTCCCAAAGTGCTGGGATTACAAGCGTGAGCCACCACGCCCACTCGGCACCTGGACTTCGGGAAAGCCACAGCTAGTCCCAGACCCTCCCCGTGAAGCCAGAGCCTTTGGCTTCTCCAGAGCTCAGAGGCGCTGCAGGGCTGGCTTTGTAAGTGCTGTGCCCATAGCCAGGATGGCGGGAAGAGACACAGCAGAAGCAGGTGATGCCCACCATGTGGGGGACAGGGTGGGGTGAGCATAGCACAATGCTAGAGATGTCCAGACCTGGCACCACTTAGAACCTGGAGGCCTGTGTTAGGAGGTGACGTCCCCCTCCTGGCTGAGCACTGCCAGGCACGGAGCTGGCTTGTCACACTGGTGTGAGTGGGGGGCCGTACCCCTCGGATAGCAGGAGCTCGTGGGCAGCCCCCTGCCACCCTGAGTTTGCCGTCTGCGGGAAAAGGCAGTTTCCATTGCACATGCCAGCAGCACGGCCCTGCCCTTCTGCCTGCTCCCAGACCTGGCTGTGCCACTGTGCCCTGCCCCTTCCCACATCCCCCGGGACCCACCAGCCTCCGCCACCATGGGTGCAGCCAGGACCACCCTGATATGCCACATATGCCCTGATATGTGTCTTCTGAAACCCGCACAGAGGGATACAGCTGGCCCCCTGCCGGCGGCCTCCCTCCCAGGAACACACTCAGGTGAGTTCCCAGGCGCTGTCGGCCGACTTGGGGCAGCTGGCACCACAGGTCCACAGCTCCAGGGCCACCTGAGAGCAAGGACACGGTGGCCCCGATGCCTGCCCAGTCCAGAAGGTACGAAGAAAGTCCCATGATCTTTCCTGATCCGTGCATGGTGGGATCACAGGTGTGGGAGCCTAGGGGTCCACTGAACGATCCCCTTCCCATGACCCAGAATGAGCAGAGATGGGGAGGGCTGTGAACCAGGAGCAGCTGGCGGGACGGGGACGCAGAGGCTGGGCAGAAGTGGACCTTGGGGAGCCCCCACCCCCCAACCCCTCCTCACCCACGCAGGCGCCCTCGTCCACCCCCGGGCCGCTCCTCACCCACGCAGGCGCCCTCGTCCACCCCCGGACCCCTCCTCACCCACGCAGGCGCCCTCCTCCACCCCCGGACCCCTCCTCACCCACGCAGGCGCCCTCCTCCACCCGGGCAGCTCCTCACCACGCAGGCGCCCTCCTCCCACCCCCGGACCCCTCCCTCCCACCCACGCAGGCGCCCTCCTCCACCCCGGACCTCCTCACCCACGCAGGCGCCCTCCTCCATCCCGGGCGCTCCTCCCCCACCCACACAGGCGCCCTCCTCCACCCCGAGGCCGCTCCTCACCCACGCAGACACCTCGTCCAGCACCCAGCCCACTTCGCACTGCCCGCAGTCTCTGTTGAGTCGGGCCCGAGCCGTCTTGCAGGACTCGTCGCAGGCTGGAAGGCAAGGCGGGCCTGGGTCTGAACCCCCACTCTCAGGTACCAGCTTGGGGACAGGGCTTGTTTAAAAGTGAGGAATTTAAGGGGAAAAAGCAACATGGGGTTTTCAGTGCCCATGAATTTAAAAAATTCCTCTAACAAATCTGGACTCCCAGGAATTTTAATAACCTGGAGAAGGCTATCCGTGCTCTGGAGCTGTAGCCTGGCTGGGTGTGCGTGTTCAGGATCCACCGTGCCCCATGCCATGCCAACATCAAGAGACAGACGGCAGAGTGTAAGAACCAGAGGCCGGTCTGACTGGCGATCCACAGGTCTGGTGCCAAATGGCCCCAGGCGCCCTCCTCCACCCCCGGGCCGCTCCTCACCCACGCAGACACCCTCGTCCAGCACCCAGCCCACTTCGCACTCGCCGCAGTCTCTGTTGGTCGGGCCCGAGCACGTCTTGCAGGACTCGTCGCAGGCTGGAAGGCAAAGGCGGGCCTGGGTACGAACCCCACTCTCAGGTACCAGCTTGGGGACAGGGCTTGTTTAAAAGTGAGGAATTTAAGGGGAAAAAGCAACATGGGGTTTTCAGTGCCCATGAATTTAAAATTCTCAGCAAATCAGGACTCCAAGGAATTTTTAATAACCTGGAGAAGGCAGCTATCCGTACTCTGGAGCTGTAGCCTGGCTGGGTGTGCGTGTTCCGGATCCACACGTGCCCCATGCCATGCCAACATCCAAGAGACAGACGGCAAGGGGTGTAAGAACCAGAGAGGCCGGTCCTGACTGGCGATCCACAGGTCTGTCTGCCCAGAATAGCCTAGGGGGCTACCGGCCAACCATGCACTCATGTCCAAGACATCAACACACCCAGAGTTTTCCTACATATCAGTGACAACCAGGGAGAAAACGTCCTTTGGAAAGATGCCACTCATAATGGCCTGCAGGGATTTGACAGGTGCTGCTCTCCGGGCCGGTGCTGGGCCCGCACGGTACCTCCAGGACCTGTGCACTGCGTGGCCCATCACAACTCCAGGTCGCGGCAGACCTCGAACTAGAGAGGAAGGTGAGTAGCTTCTCCCTTCTGGGGGCTGTTATGGGACAGGAAGCGCCCCTAGCAACCTCTGCCTCTATCCTCTGACGTTTTAATTCATCCTTCTGGGCCCCCGAAGCTTCCCTGGACATCCGGGGTTAAGATATTAGCAGGCCCCTGTTCCCATCTAGGCAGGTAGCTCCAGCAAGGGGCAGTTGTCATCCTGCCTCACCCCGGGGCCGGCCCAGGCGAAGCCGTACCTGTGCAGACGCTGTGGGTCTCGTTCCGGAGCGAGCTGAAGTAGCCGTCCATGCAGTCAGTGCACAGTGGGCCCTGGTACCCCACGTGGCACCGGCAGGACCCGTCACCCTGTCTGCTGCCGTCTCCGCTGCAGTGGCCATTCCCGCTGCAGGGCCTCTGGGACCCACCCTGGCACGCTTTGGGGGACACAAAACCATGCTCAGAGCACACCTGGTGGTGACTGGTGGGGTGTTCTCAGAGAGAACGCACTGCACCCAAACCCTGTACGATTCTGAGGACGTACATGAGCCTGCAGGCTTGGAGTGGGTGTTGGGGGAAACTGATTTCCTGGGGTCTGCAGGGCTGGCGGTGGATGGCCTGAGTGGAGCAAGCCACAGGCTGCTGGACTTCACTAAGGCCACGTGCTGCATGATGACGTTTAGGTCAACAAGGGACCCTGCATGGCACAGCTGTCCCCTAAGATGATAATAAAGCTGAGCAGCTCCTATTGCCTAGTGACATCACGATACGCCTTATTACCTGTTCTATGTTTAGATGTATTCAGGTGACACACTCTTACCACGTCACAATGGCCCACAGTACTCAGGACCCTCACGTGCCACGCGGGTGTACGGCCTGGGAGCAGCAGGCCCTGCCAGGCGGCCTAGGTGCGGAGCGGCTGCACCACCTAGGCGTGTGGAGTGCACTCTGCCATGTTTGCACCATGACAAAGTCGCCTGATGATGCATTTCTCAGAACACGCCTGGTCGTTACACATGACTGCACTTTGTGTGGCTTTGGGCAGCCTCAGCTGAAACATGGTGATGGGGACACCGATGCATCAGGGGCGGAGACTGCAGGGAGAGTGGGAACATCAGCTGCAGCCTCCAGTGCTCGCCAGGGATAGACGCAGAGGCTGGCAGGAGGCTGACGGGGGGCAGGTCGGGGGGTCTAAACCTGAAACTTCTGCTGCCTGATCCTGCTTGACCACGTGATTGCCTTTTATAAACGTTAAACCGTGGCTTCCGTTTCTGCACACTTCTTCACAGAAGAGCCCTGTCCTGCAGCGCCCATTAAGGCTCAAGGCCGTGCACCCAGCCTGATAAGACACCTACTGCCCTGGGCTCTCTGCAATGGCAGCCACAGAAGCTGTGGTGTGGTCCCCTCTGTGCACACAGGGAGAAGCCCCTGGACAGGTCAGTCAGGACAGACTCTCAGGTGAGTGGACTCAGCTGTGAACAACCTGAGTCAGTGAACCCCTGAGTTAACAGAACAGCTGGGATGACATACTCAGAGTTTTACACTAAAGCGTGAGGTGAGCGGTGAGGCTGCAGTGGGAGGGTGCGAAGTGCTCCAAGTTGGGTTGGGGATAGGGGAGGCAGCCGTCCGGCAGGGTCCCAGACCCTACAGAAAGCTGATGTCCCCCAGGTCCCCTGTGCTTTCATCCCCCAAGAATTGTGAGAGGAAGAGGGGAAGTGATGTAGGAGATGGGATTTCCCTAAGCAGAAACGCACCGAGACAGTCGGGACCGTAGGTTCCTGGAGAGCAGCACAGTTTCAGCGTCTTCACACAAAACCACTCGAATAAGTCAGGATACTCGTTCTTCCTGAGGATGGAGGAAAACATTCACTGAATCCCACCAGACACGGCTCTTTAAAACAAACATGCAGCTGAACATAACATAGGCTCTAGAGTATTGCAAGATCCAGGAAACAAGAGTCTAGGTGTGGACAGAATCTTCTCGTTAATTTCCTGGTTTTGATCACTGACCCTGGTGATAAAAAACAGTAATGCAGGGTTTGTAAGGTGGGTGCGAGGCAGGTGGGAGCTCCATACTGTTCCCGTACCTTTCTAAGTCTGAGGTTATTTCAAATTCTAAGTTGGAAAATAAAAAGTATCTTCTAAGAGGTTTTAAGGCACTCACAGCTGCAGCCACCAGGCCTCCAGGTGTTCCTCCTGCGCCTCCAGCATCTGGTTGCATTCGAAGTCGCTGCTCTCACACAGCCCCTCCAGAATCTCCAGCAGGCGAATCTCGCTGAAACACAGGCCCACGCGGGCCCACAGTCAGCGCCACAAGCCAGTGAAGAAAAATCCGAACCAATACACCAGCCCGGGTGCAGGGGCGGGGGGCCGGGATTCCAGGCAGAGAGAGTAAGGGGACCCCACTGTCAGGGGCCAGGAGCGGTTCACACAAGTGGGGCTGGTGTTCTAGTTTACATTTTGAAAAGCCACTGTCTGTTGAGGGGGCAGGGACCAGAGCAGAAGCTGGAAGGCCAGAGAGGATCCAGCCATTAGTCCTCAGGCAAAAGCCAAGGCAACTCAGACAGGTGACTGGTGCCTCGCGGGCTGTTCTGTCTCCCTGTTATTAACACGGGCACCAAAGGCAGGACACGGCTTCCCAGGACAGGGTCCGGCCAAGACCCACAGGGCTGCTCCAGAGCGCCCACCTGGACTCATACTTGGACAGCGTCTTTTCCTCCCAAGCCGTGTTCCCGCCGCCAAAGTTCTTCTTTGCGGTGTCCACCAACCCCTGCGAGGAGACAGTGCCCATAGGGATTGGTACCACCTGACCCCCCGCCCAGGGTGAGGGCGACCCCAGGTCGAGGGTGAGGGGACCCCAGGCCCACGGTGGGGTCAACCCTGGGTCCACGGTGGGGGTGGATCCCGGGTCGAGGGTGAGGGGGACTCCAGGACTACGGAGTGGCGACTCTGGATCGACGGTGAGGGGGACCCCAGGTCCACGGTGGGGGGGCCCCAGGTCTAGGGTGAGGGGGACTTCGAATCCAGGGTGAGGGCGACCCTGGCTCCAGGGTGAGGGGGACCCCAGGCCCAAGGTGGGGCGGACCCCGGATCCAGGGTGAGGTGGACCCCGGGCCCACGGTGGACGACCCCGCCCGGTCCCTGCCCACCTGGTTAAACTTGTCCACCAGCCCCCGGCACCGCTGGCAGGGCGTCGGCTTCTTGGCGGCCTCCGGCGCGGGCGGCAGCAGCAGCAGAAGCGACAAGAGCCCTAGCGCGGCCCGGCGCGGCAGGCGCATGGCGGGTAGCACTGCGGGCAGACGCAGCCGGAGCTCCAGGTCCTGCGGCCGCGCGGCTCCGGCCTCTCGGCCGCCCACCCGCTCCCAGCCGCGCCGGCCGGTCCCCCTGGCTACTTGACGGTGCCGGCGAGGCCCCGCCCCGCTCGCCAGCCCCGAGCCGCTATTGGTCGATGGGACCCGCCCCGGCCTGATGTGGACCAATCCGAGCTCGCCACGAGAGGTGACCAATGGGAAGGCCCCGGGTCAGCGTCTGCGGGGAGGCCGGGGGCGGGGCGTGCAGGTCCAACCCCGCCTCCCGCGCCCCGCCCCTTGCGCGCAGCCCGCGGCGGCCATGTTTACTTGGGGCACAGAGGGTCCTCGCGGCCGCAGCGGCAGGCGTTGCGGTGGCCACTTTAGATTCGGGCAAAGGCTTCGCTCTGTTCTGTTTCCGCCGTCCCGCTTCCTGCCCAGGCCGGCCTAGGCAGCCGCGTTCCGAAAGACGCCGCCGGGAGCTGCGGAGGTCAGTGCGCGCTGCCGCGACCGGGGCCCTCAGGCGGGCACGCAGCGAGACCAGGGAGGAGGCGGGCGGGGGCGCGACCCGAGGTGGCGCTGGCGTTGGATTCCTGAGACCTCACCGCGTATGTCCACGCGTCACAGCCCGGTGCTCCTTACCTGGGGCTGCACCCCTCACCGGGGGCTGGGCTCCCCACCTGGGGCCGGACCTCTCACCCGGAGGCTGGACCTCTCACCTGGGGCTGGACCCCTCTCTGCCTGAGCCGGGCTTCTCACCTGGGGCTGGACCTGTTACCTGGGGCAGGTTTGACCTCTCACCTGGAGCTGGACTTGTCACCTGGAGCTGGACCCCTCACCTGGGGCCTGGACCCTCACCCGGAGCGGACCCCTCACCCGGAGGCCGGACCTCTCACCCGGAGGCTGGACCTCTCACCTGGGGCTGGACCCCTCACCTGGGGTCGGGCTCCCCACCTGGGGCTGGACCTCTCACCCGGGGATCGGACCTCTCACCCGGAGGCTGGACCTCTCACCTGGGGCTGGACCTCCCACACCAGAGATGGGTTTTCACCTGGGCCGGACCTCTCACCCGGAGGCTGGACCTCTCACCTGGGGCTGGACCCCTCACCTGGGGTCGGGCTCCCCACCTGGGGCTGGACCTCTCACCCGGGGATCGGACCTCTCACCCGGAGGCTGGACCTCTCACCTGGGGCTGGACCTCCCACCTGGGGGATGGGTTTTTCACCTGGGGGCTGGACTTTCCACCTGGGGCTGGGGTCCACTCAGTGTCTTTGGGGGCTGGGGATCTGCATTTCTACAGGCGCTTGAGGTGATGAACACTCGCTAATGTTCAGGAACCCCTGGTTTAAATTAGGGGAAATGTGCAGTGTCTGGATTTCACAGAACTCCTGTCTGGAAGGAAGGAGTGCAGATAACATGGCTTTTTCTGGTCTTTGATGGGCAGCAGCTGTGATTTGCATCAGATCATTTGTGTTTCCTGCTGAGAGGCTAATGATTATTATTAGTAATAGTAACATCTGGGCCGGGCGCAGTGGCTCATGCCTGTAATGCCAGCAATTTGGGAGGCTAAGGTGGCCGGATCACCTGAGGTTAGGAGTTCGAGACCAGCCTGGCCAATGTGGTGAAACCCTGTCTCTACTAAAAAAAATACAAAAATTAGCCGGGCATGGTGGCACATGCCTGTAATCCGAGCTACTTAGGAGGCTGAGGCAGGAGAATCACTTGAAGCCAGAAAGTGGAGGTTGCATTGAACGAGATCATGACACTGCACTCCAGCCTGGGCAACAAGAGTGAAACTCCGTCTCAATTAAAAAAAAAAAAAAAGGTAACATCTGATTTGACCAATTTCTTTTCTTTTCTTTCTTCTTTTTTTTTTTTTTGAGATGGAGCCTCACTCTGCCACCCAGGCTGGAGTGCAGTGGTGCAATCTCGGCTCACTGCAACCTCTGCCTCCCAGGTTCCAGTGATTCTCCTGCCTCAGCCTCCTAAGTAGCTCGGATTACAGGCACCCACCACCAGGCCCGGCTAATTTTTGTATTTTTAGTAGAGACAGGGTTTCACCATGTTGGCCAGGCTGGTCTCGAACTCCTGACCTCAAGCAATCCGCCTGCCTCAGCCTCCCAAAGTGCTAGGATTACAGGTGTGAGCCACCATGCCTGGCCTGATTTGACCAACTTCAGTAGAGGCCTTAAAATCTGGATTGATGGGGCAAGAGAGCCATTGCAGGTCATTCCCTAATCTGAAATGCCATTGTTCTGTAAACCACCGTTTTAAAGTGTCACAGCCAGCTGGGCGCGGTGGCTCACACCTGTAATCCCAGCACTTTGGGAGGCCGAGGTGGGCGGATCACTAGGTCAGGAGATCGTGACCATCCTGGCTAACACGGTGAAACCCTGTCTCTACTAAAAAATACAAAAAAATTAGCCAGGCATGGTAGTGTGCGCCTGTAGTCCCAGCTACTCAGGAGGCTGAGGCAGGAGAATGGCGTGAACCCGGGAAGCAGAGCTTGCAGTGAGCTGAAATCGCGCCACTGCACTCCAGCCTGGGCAATAGAGCGAGACTCCGTCTCACAAAAAGTAGAAAAATAAATAAAAAATAAAATGTCATGGCCTGGGCCTGTTTTAACCTGTAGGTGCTCCCGAGGCACCTGTCACTTAGATTAGCCACAGCTGCTGACCAGCTGCCGAGCAGAGTGGACTAGTGCAGGACAGCGTCCACTCACCCTCGCCCAGTGGGGGGTTGGTCATGGTTTTCACGCTTGCTAGTGTCGACTTGGTCTTTCCATGCTTCTGGCAGAGAATCTGGACTCACCCTTGGTCTTCTCATGCCTTCGAAAGTTGAAATCAAAGCACGAACATATTTTTTGTTTGAGATGGAGTCTCACTCAGTCGCCAGGCTGGAGTGCAGTGGTGCAATCTCCGCTTACTACAACCTCTGCCTCCCAGGTTCAAGCGATACTCCTGCCTCAGCCTCCCGAGTAGCTGGGACCACAGGCGCCCGCCACCACGCCTGGCTAATTTTTTGTATTTTTAGTAGAGACGGGGTTTCACCATGTTAGCCAGGATGGTCTCGATCTCCTGACCTTGTGATCCACCTGCCTCGGCCTCCCAAAGTGCTGGGATTACAGGAATGAGCCACCGCTCCCGGCTGCTGGAACATATTTTTAATAAGCACGTGAGCTGGTGTGATGAGATCCCTGTGTAAGAGTTTTTACCTATTTCTTCTTCGGCAGCCTTGTTGAGTGCCTACTGTGCGGCAGGCTCTGCTGATTCAGCAGTGAGTCCACCAAACAAGCCCTGCCCACAGGATGAGTCCAGCAGGGGAGGTGGCAGAGAGGCAGCCTTCAGGCCACAGAGGCTGGCCTCTTTCCCACCAGTGCAGTGCTGAGGCTGCACTGGTGGGAAAAATAATCCAGCATCAAAAACCCCCCACCGTCATAAAGCTTGTGTCTTAGCAAGTGGGAGACAGCTGAGTGGTGCTCCTTCATCTGGTGGACAGTGACTCCTAACCTAGTTCTTCAGCCTTTCTCTTTGTTTGATACCAAGTTTATTTTTTAAAGTTTTTTATTATTAATTTATTTTCTTTTTTATTTCTGAGGCAGGGTCCTGCTCTGTGGCCCAGACTGGATATCAGTGGCACAATCTTGGCTCAGTGCAGCCTCTGCCTCCCGGACTCAAGCGATTCTCCTGCCTCAGCCTCCAGAGTAGCTGGGATTATAGGCACGCGCTACCACGCTCAGCTAATTTTCGTATTTTTAGTAGAGACAGAGTTTCACCATGTTGGCCAGGATGGTCTCGATCTCCTGACCTCGTGATCTGCCCACCTCAGCCTCCCAAAGTGCTGGGATTACAGGAATGAGCCACCGCACCTGGCCCCAGGTTTTTATATTTGGCAAAGGAAAGAACTGCATACCATTTTAGTCATTGTAAAATTATTAAAACTTTCTTTTCTCTTTCTGTCCACTCCCTGCCCACCATATCAAATAGGGTTCCTCTTCCTTCTAATCTACAGATTTTCTTTTGGTTGCCATCATTGTAGACTTCTTAAGTCTCCATTTGATCTAAAGGTAGTTTTGGCTGGGAACGGTGGCCCATGCCTGTAATCCCAACACTTCAGGAGGCCAAGGTGGGAAGATTGCTTGAAGCCAGGAATTCCATACCAGCCTGGGCTACAAAGCAAGACCCTGTCTTTATAAAAAATAAGAAAACTTAGCTGAGTGTGGTGACCCACACCTGTAGCTGCAACTACTCAGGAGGCTGGGGCAAAAGGATCCCAGGAGTCTGAGGCTGCAGTGAGCCACGATCACGCCACTGCACTCCAGCTTGGGAGACAGAGTAAGACGCTGTCTCTTAAAAAAAAAAAGTTTTTTTAAAGTAGTTTTAACAAACGGTAAGCGCTGGAGCTGTCTCTCCCTTTGCTTCTGGCTCTTCTGGTTTGGACTGAATAAAATCAAACGTGTTTTAAAAGAATCCAGAAACATGAAGAATTTGCCCGCTTCCCTCCCTTGGCCTTTCACGTGTAGCAGCTGGACGTGTTGCTGGCCTCTCAGGAAGCTGCGTGCCACGGGCCCCTGCAGTTGTCCTGTTAGTATTTGGGAGACCCATTGCCAGTCTCCCCAGGCTCACACACAGGCTCATGGCCGGTGTGGTGCCACCTTTGGGAAAGCCGACCATGGCTTCTCCCAGCCCCCAGGGTGGGGTTCGGCGCAGGCATCCACAGCCGCATCCCACCATTCCTGGGAGTAGGGGCTTTGCTGACCACTTGAGCCCTGTGTCCTGGCAGCTGTACTGTGTTCAGCCTCCTACCCCCCTGGGTCCCCCATCCGCCACCCTCCAGCTTTGTGCCTCCCACCCAGCTAACCAGCCCCCGTCAGCCTCCCGTTCCGTCTTCCTCAGCCAGTTCCCTCGGGGCCGAGCCTGGGTTTTGCTGACTCTCCTGCCTGATTTAGACTGGAAGGCAGGGGCCATTTACCAACCTCCATTGCGCTGGTGGCCCAGGCCTGCTCGGACTCAGAGTTCTGCTGCTGAGGTCCTTCTCCCCAAAAAAACATTCACAGAGCTGAAAGTGTCAGATCACTGGTTGCAATATGAAAGCTTCTCAAGTGTGATTTTTTTCCCCGAACTTTCCATCTTTATGCATTTTCAGATTTGTGGTAGTGCAACTAAGACAGTAGTTCAGAGAATTCCTGCTAACTCTTTACCCAGATCTCACAGACGAGCACAAGCATGACTTTCAAAACTCAGGAATCTGTTTTCACTTTTCCAGCATGCATGGAGTGGCAGTACTAACGGCTGGTGTCTCGCACCCTGCCCTGTGAAGGTACGTGAAGCTGAAAGCCTGGAATGGCTGGAAAGGGGTCATCAGGCAGGCGTCCCCTGCTGCTGGGGTTGCTGGTGGCCGTAGCCACTGTCCACCTGGTCACCTGTCCCTACACCAAAGTGGAGGAGAGCTTCAACCTGCAGGCCACACATGACCTGCTGTACCACTGGCGAGACCTGGAACAGGTGAGGGGCCCCTGCTGTCCTTGGGGAAAACCTCATGTTACCAGCTGGCAGGGCCCCGGTGCACTGACCTGCCCTTCTCCTCGCAGTACGACCATCTCGAGTTCCCCGGAGTCGTCCCCAGGACGTTCCTCGGGCCAGTGGTGATCGCGGCATTCTCCAGCCCTGCGGTTTATGTGCTTTCGCTGTTAGAAATGTCCAAGTTTTACTCTCAGCTAATAGGTAAGGGGGTCTTCAACAAAGGAGGAGGGAGTGAAGACCATGGTGCAGGTTTTACTCTCAGCTAGTAGGTAAGGGAGTCTTCAACAAAGGAGGAGGGAGTGAGGGATTGTGGTGTCATCGGGTGACCTCAGCGAGGCCGCGGTCCCCCCGCCCAGGAACGCTGTCTGTTACAGTCTTGCCTGCCCTCGATCACCGTGGCATGGCGGCTCAGAGCAGGCACTCAGGTCAGGCTGGGACATCTGAGCCAGCCCCTCTGTGCCTCCACACTCTTGACTGGGAAATGAGGGATGACGGCACTCACTCCCCAGGGCAGGTACAAGAGAAATGCCGTCTGTCTGTGACGCAGCTCTCGCCACCTGAGCCTGCTGCTCCCGCCTCACCTGGCGAACCCCAATGGGGTCAACAGCCTTTATTCCTACAGAAACAGCACCATTTGCCTTGGGGAACGTTACAAACAGAAACCTCACATTCCCAGAGGCCACCACTGCAGGGCCTGTGTGCAAATCCTGGGTCTTTCTCTGTGCCCACATGAGGACTAAAAAAAAAAACAATTTTAGAACATTTTGTACATATTACATATTGTTCTGAAAACCGATTTTTTTTTTTTTTTTTTTTGAGACAGGGCCTTGCTGTGTCACCCAGGCTGGAGTCTGGAGTGCAGTGGTGCAATCATAGCTCACTGAACTCCTGGGCTCAAGTGATCGTCCCACCTCAGCCTCCCACAGTGCTGGGATTACAGGCGTGAGCTACCATGTCCAGTCACACAACCTGAGTTTTTAAAGTCAGCAATCACCACTTTTTCATTTCAGTACGTTTTTATTGCTTTTAATACCCAGACATGCTTCCGGTGAGTCTGTCCAGCCTGCATGGAGAGCGTTAAGCAGCAGCACATTCCTGGGGAAGGAGCACATTCCTAGGGAAGCAGCAGTTCTGCTTCTTGAAGGGCAGATTGGGAACGGAAACCCACCATGGCATGGGGACAGCTGGACAAGCCGTGCGTGTCCTGTGGAGGCGTCAGGGAGCCCCAGATGGGGAGGAGTTGGGGGGCCATGAGCCAGGGAAAGGAAGTCCCACGGCTGAGTCCACATTCCCCTGGAAGCTTCTGCGTATTCCAGGGGTGGCAGCAAGAGGCCGGGAGGTTGGGCAGAGCTGGGCAGACTCCGGCTGGACAGAAACTCGGAGGGCTGCAGCTTCAGCCAGTGAATGGGAGCCCACCCTGGGTCCTTCCTGATCCCACTAAGATGACCTGGAATTGCTAGTGCCCCCCTGGCCAGCCCCTGCCACAGGCCAAAATCCTTCCTCTCTGGATGAAGAGCACATCATCCTGGGACTGAAGGTCATCCTGGGGCCGAGGCTGATCCTGGGGCCGAGGCTGATCCTGGGGCCGAGGCTGATCCTGGAGCTGAAGCTGCCCTTGTTGGGCACGGGATTGAGATTGTTGGGCATTTGGGAAGATGGAAAACCAAGAGAAGAGATACAGGGGATGGACCTGATGGGAAAAAGGGGAAGTGGGGCTTTGCCGGGGTCTGTGAATTATTTAAAAGCCCAGGGGGAATTCCAGCACCAAAAATGCAGCAGCTGGAGCCAGACCCACTCCTGGTAGCAGTGAAAAATGTCCTGTTGAGACATTCAGGCCAGACGAGGTGACTCACGCCTGTAATCCCAGAACTTTGGGAGGCCGAGGCGGGGGGATCACCTGAGGTCAGGAGTTTGAGACCATCCTGGCCAACATGGGGAAACTTTGTCTCTACTAAAAATACAAAAATTAGCTGGGCATGGCAGCGTGTGCCTGTAATCCCAGCTACTTGGGAGGCTGAGGTAGCAGAATTGCTTGAACCCGGAAGGCAGAGGTTGCAGTGAGCCGAGATTGTGCCACTGCAGTCCAGCCTGAGCAACAGAAGGAAGCTCTGTCCTTAAAAAGAAAAAAGAAAAAAAAAAAAAAAAAAGACATTTGCAGTCCGAATCCAGCAATCAGTGAAAAGAAAATGCCCGGTGTGCATACGGGGTGTTGTGGGAACAGCAGGTCCAGCACTCAGACGTCTGTGGCCCCCTTGCAATGCCTGCGTATCTCTGCCTGTTGGCCCCCGCAGCTGCCTGGACCCAGTTGCCTCTCACATGGGAGCTTCGAAGTCCCTTCCGGAAAGGTGGCGAGAGATACCCAGAAGTTCATTTTTCTTCCTGTTTTCAGCCTCTCTTGCCAGCGGCTGACAGGCCAGTCCACGGTGAGGATGTGTGGTCGGCTGGGTACTGTCCTGGGCACACCTGCCCCCTCACCGCCTCCTCATCAGACCGCCAGCCCAGAGGTGGCTCCCGCTGTTGAATGGGGAGAGGGGTCCTGACCCCCTTCCTGCCTGGAAGCCTGTGTTCCCGCCACGTCCCACCTCCTCACGGCTGCTGGTTAGAGCAAGGTCTGAGCCCGGCCCTTGCAAACATTGCCCCTGGAGATGCCACAGCCCGATGGGGTCTCTGGTTTAGTGTGGGGCTCAGCTTGTAGCACCCCCAAGTTCCGTGTCCTCCCTCATGCTTCAGAGAGCAGCCCCCGCGAGAGCCCTCGTGGACCAGGCTTGGGCGTTTCAGTTCCTGACAGGAGCGCAGGGGGCCTGGGGCCAGACGTCTGTTTTAGACATGGAGACGATGCCCTCAAGGCTGCTTTGCCTGACATGGCCGTCAGCTGGCGTTGCAGCAACATAGAAAAATCCATATAGAAAGATATGTGTAGAAGGATCCACGTAGGAGGACCCACTGGATGCTCCGCCACTACAGGCTCACGTGCTGTCACTGTCTTTGTTTAGTTAGAGGAGTGCTCGGACTCGGTGTGATTTTTGGACTCTGGACGTTACAAAAGGAAGTGAGACGGCAGTTTGGGGCCATGGTGGCCACCATGTTCTGCTGGGTGACGGCCGTCCAGTTCCACCTGATGTTCTACTGCACGCGGACACTGCCCAACGTGCTGGCCCTGCCCGTAGGTACGTAGCTGCCGGCCGTGCCTGCACACCCACGGTGCCGGGCAGGGGCTCCTCTGAGTCAGGGGCTCCCCGGCTGATGACAGCGCCTCCCTTGTGATGGCCACTTCCCGCTGGGCTCCTCAGGATGGTCCGTGACCTGAAACCGGGCTCTTTGTTTTCCCTGCTGGGTTGGGATGCACTTCCTAGCCAACAGCATGGGTGCGGGGGGCCGGCTCTGAGCAGTTTGTTTTCTGGGATATTTGTGTGACTTTTATGATAAGAAAAGGAACAGCTGCTGGTTAGAGCAAGGTCCCTTCACTTCCCAGAGTGTTTTCTGGGCCAGGTGGGCCCTGTGTCTGATGGGCACCCTCCCACGCTGTCTTGCAGTCCTGCTGGCCCTGGCAGCCTGGCTGCGGCACGAGTGGGCCCGCTTCATCTGGCTGTCAGCCTTCACCATCATCGTGTTCAGGGCAGAGCTGTGCCTGTTCCTGGGCCTCCTGCTGCTGCTGGCCTTGGGCAACCGAAAGATTTCTGTAGTCAGAGCCCTTCGCCACGCCATCCCGGCGGGGATCCTCTGTTTAGGTAAGTCAGTCGCTGCGGGATGCTTCTAATTGGATTTTGTTTTACCTTGTTTTACAAAGGTCAAGAGAAATTTGGGACGTTTTCATCCCCATGAAATAAAATGACTCTAACTTTAGCAGTGTTGAAACATTTCAGTCCTAAGCCTCCTGCCCGGGGTCTCCAGGGGGCCCCATCCTGCACCTTGGGAGCCCCTGTTCACTGGTCTGTGCCTTGTCCTTGGGCTGGGGGAGGCCACAAGAGCAGAGGGTGGCTTGTCCCTGTGCCAGGCGGTGGTTCTGGGCAGTGGTGTCCTCAGCACAGCTGGCGTCTTTTTTCTTTTTTTTTGTTTTAGAGATAGCTTGCTCTGTCACCCAGGATGGAGTGCAGTGGCGTGATCGTGGTCCATTGCAACCTCCAACTCCTAAGCTCCAGCAATCTTCCCACCCAGCCCAACCTCTTTGCTCTGAAAGCAGCTTGTAGTTTCTGTAGTGATGGGGGCTGCACTGTGGTGGGATGTTTACTGATGGCTGTGTTTGCGAGTAAGAAACTCTATTTTATTTTATCAGGACTGACGGTTGCCGTGGACTCTTATTTTTGGCGGCAGCTCACGTGGCCAGAAGGAAAGGTGTTTTGGTACAACACTGTCCTGAACAAAAGCGCCAACTGGGGGGTATCCTTCAGTGTCCGTGCAGGAGGGCGATGGGTGGGACCCCCAGCCACACCTCCTGGGCCTCCTTGCGTGGTGGAAGCAGCTGCTTCTCCCTTCTGTGCAGCCTGGCCGCAGGGTCAGGATGGAGCCCCTCCCTCCCACTTGCTCCTGGGAAATGCTGACCATGGGTGGTGAGGTCCCGGCTGCCCTCTCTCAGTCCTGTGGAAACAGCCCCGCCCCAGATTAACCCAGCCTCTCTTCTGCTCCTTGGACAATCTGCCTTTTTTTTTTTTTTTTTTTTTTTTTTTTTTTTGAGACCGAGTCTGGCTCTGTCGCCCAGGCTGGAGTACAGTGGTGTGATCTCAGCTCACTGCAGCCTCTGCCTCCCTGGTTCAAGCAATTCTCCTGCCTCAGCCTCACGAGTAGCTGGGACTATAGGCATGCGCTAGCATGCCTGGCTAATTTTTGTATTTTTAGTAGAGATGGGGTTTTACCATGTTGGTCAGGCTGGTCTTGAACTTCTGACCTCAAGTGATCTGCCCACCTCAGCCTCCCAAAGTGCTGGGATTACAGGTGTGAACCACCACACCTGGCCCGGACAATCTGCATTTAAAAAGCACTTTCTTTTTTTTTTTTTTTTTTTTTTTGAGACGGAGTTTTGCTCTTTTTCCCGGGCTGGACTGCAGTGGCCGGGTTTCAGCTCACTGCAAGCTCCGCCTCCCGGGTTTACGCCATTCTCCTGCCTCAGCCTCCCGAGTAGCTGGGACTACAGGCGCCCGCCACCTCGCCCGGCTAGTTTTTTGTATTTTTAGTAGAGACGGGGTTTCACCGTGTTAGCCAGGATGGTCTCCATCTCCTGACCTCGTGATCCGCCCGTCTCGGCCTCCCAAAGTGCTGGGATTACAGGCTTGAGCCACCTCGCCCGGCCTAAAAAGCACTTTCTTAGGAAATATGTCAAATGTACACGCGTAGATGGAATAGCATAACAAATCCCCAACACGTGTGTCACCTGTGACCCTCTGTTTTTGTTTGTTTGTTTGTTTGAGACAGAATCTCACCCTGTTGCCAGGTTGGAGTGCAATGGCACGATCTCGGCTCACTGCAACCTCCAACCCCCTGGTTCAAGTGATTCTCCTGCCTCAGCCTCCTGAGTAGCTGGGATTACAGGCACTTGCCACCACGCCCAGCTAATTTTTGTATTTGTATCGGAGACGGGATTTCACCATGTTGGCCAGGATGGTCTCGATCTCTTGACCTCGTGATCCGCCCACCTCGGCCTCCCAGAGTGCTGGGATTACAGACGTGAGCCACTGTGCCTGGCTGACCATCTGTTTTTAACAGTGAAGAAAAGGGTGCAGAGACCGAACATCCTGCGGCCCTTTCTGCCTTGGTCCTGCCTGGAGGGGGCCCGAAGCCCAAGTGGTATGTGTGCACCCGCGCCGTGGCCTGGGTGTGTCTTTTAGGAAGGGGCCTGGGGCCTGAGTGGTGTCTGTGCACGCGAGCCATGGCCCAGGCTGCGTCTCTCAGCACAACTGTCTTCAGGCATCTTCTCTGCCTTCACCCCACCACCCAGCCCACGGGCTCATGTGTGGACAGGTGCATGGCCTCCTTAACCCAGCCCGCAGACCTCCCCACTGCTGTGGTACTTCTACTCAGCCCTGCCCCGCGGCCTGGGCTGCAGCCTGCTCTTCGTCCCCCTGGGCTTGGTGGACAGAAGGACTCACGCACTGACGGTGCTGGCACTGGGCTTCGTGGCGCTCTACTCCCTCCTGCCGCACAAGGAGCTTCGCTTCATCATCTATGCCTTCCCTGCTCTCAACATCACAGCGGCCAGAGGCTGCTCCTACCTGTGAGCACTCTTTTTGTGACACGCATTTTTAGTTTCATTGGAAACAGGTTCACTGATTTACTGTGTGTGGGGTGTATGTGTGTGTTTAAGTTTTGAAACAGGGTCTTGCTCTGTCACCCAGGCTGGAGTGCAGCAGTGTGATCATGGCTCACTGCACCCCTCAACTCCTGGGGAGTCAAGCCATCCTCCTGCCTCCTAAAGTGCTGGGATTACAGGTGTGAGCCACCGGGGCAATTTTTTTTTTTTTTTTTTTTTTTGAGACGGAGTCTCGCTCTGTCGCCCAGGCTGGAGTGCAGTGGCCGGATCTCAGCTCACTGCAAGCTCCGCCTCCCGGGTTCACACCATTCTCCTGCCTCAGCCTCCGGAGTAGCTGGGACTACAGGCGTCCGCCACCTCGCCCGGCTAGTGTTTTGTATTTTTTAGTAGAGACGGGGTTTCACCGTGTTAGCCAGGATGGTCTCGATGTCCTGACCTCGTGATCCGCCCGTCTCGGCCTCCCAAAGTGCTGGGATTACAGGCTTGAGCCACCGCGCCCGGCCAGCTATTTTTGAAGATAAACACAGGGCGTGTTGAATTAGGTGCTTATGTCAGAAGAGGGTGGCCCCAGTCCTCTCTCCTCCCTGAGGTCTGCATGGGATGGGCCGGCCTGGCGACCTGCTGACAGAGGGCTTTGCTCAGGTGGTCTCTGTCTTGTGTTAATTTGGTGACTGGTCCACATATGGTGATGCACCAGCGGTCCCCATCTCTGTCACAGGGGAGGGACACTCACACAGGTAGCGATGGCAGAGGGCAGGGGCGGCCAGGCCTGGGAGGCTCTGAGGGCGACAGGTTAGGTGGAGGAAGGACGTTCGTGGCCATCCTGACAGGGCCTCAGGGTTGAGGGCATTGGTCAAGGCAGGTCATCTGGCTGGAAGAGGGGGATGGTCAGGGAGGTACCTGTGGCTGGGTGCAGAGGGCCCATTGTGGCCCAGGCTCGGGGTCCTGTGGAGGGTGGGCAGGCTTCCTGGGAGGAGGGACTGAAGGCAGCAGGTGATGGAGGTGGAGCTGGGAGCCTGCCAGGGCCTGGGGAGGGCACTGCCTGGGCTGAGGGTGGGGTGGTCTGAGTGCAGCTGCCACTCAGTGTCGCAAGCCTCAGGGAGCCAGGAGAGCCCATCAGTGCTGGGCCCTGTGGGTGCTGGGGAAGGACCCGGGGCTGAGGCTGGCCAGCTCTGTGCCCATTCAGAGCTTGCTGCCTTGATGGGAACAGAAGGCCAACTCAGGCCACACTGGACATGGAGGGGTGGCAGGGCTGCAGGCCAGGAGGGCTGGGGCCTGAGGTGCTGAGAGGTGCCCACTCTGGCTGGAGAGGACGTCCCACAGCACAGTCCCTGATCCCAGGCAGCGGTCAGGTGCTTTCCGGTGACACCTGTTACAGGGGACGGGCTGGTGCCCCTCAGCTCCCACTGCTCTGCACTGCCCTTGGGCCTGGGAGCTCCTCTGGCTGCTGTGACTGTTCCTCGCTAGGGGTTCCTCCAGCTGCCGTGGCCATGCCTCCGTGGAGCCCCTGGGAGCTCCTCCAGCTGCCATGGCTGTTCCTCACTGGGGGTTCCTCTGGCTGCATGGCCGTGCCCAGGCTGGGGGGCTCCTCCAGCTGCTGTGGCCATGCCTCCATGGGGCCCCTGGGAGCTCCTCTGGCTGCCGTGGCCGTGCTGGGTTGGGGGCTTCTCCAGCTGCTGTAGCCGTGCCTCAGTGGGGGCTCCTGGGAGCTCTGCCTCTGCTTTTCTGTGCCTTTGGCTCCCTCTAGTCCAAGGGGTCGGCTCAGGGCTAAAGGGGGAGCAGACTCCAGCCCGAGTCATGGAAAAGAGGGTGGGAAAGACGGGGAGAGTGGCGCAGATGGATTGTATTTGGTGACTTTTCCAGCAGGGAAGAAGATCCAGTGTGAACTGGACCCAGCTCTGCTGAAACCAAAGGCAGGAGTGTCTGAGGCCTGGTGTGCTGGGCGTGAGGGCTGCTCCATGCAAGGGCCCCCGCTGTGCCAGTCGGCCTTATCCGGAGGAGGACAAACTTGGGGCGTCTAAATGAGGGGGTGCAGGGTAGAGCAAGGCCCCCTCCGAAGTCAGGTCCTCAGCCCGGTCACCCTGGGAGCAAGAGCAGGCCGTCCCCCCTGGCGTCAGGGCCCAGGGCCTTGCCACAGTCCTGGGGGTGCGAGCTTTCCGCAGTGACTGCCCGCTCCGGCTCTGGGCGGGAACAAAGGGCGAATGCCCTGGCAGTGCTGAGCTCTTTGGGGCAGGCACTTAGGAGGCTGAGGTCATCCTAGGAGCGGCCTCGAGCTCAGGAACGGCCCCAGAGTTTGTTCACGGGTGCACTAGTCTGCTCTCGCACTGCTGTCAAACACCTGAGACCGGATAATTTATAAAGAGGAGGCTTCATTGGCTCGTGGTTCCGCAGGCCGCACAGGATTGGCTGGCGGTTCCGCGGGCCGCACAGGATTGGCTGGCGGTTCTGCAGGCTGTACAGGAAGCGTGATGCTGGTGTCTGCTCAGCTTCCGGGGAGGACTAGGGAAACTTTCCATCATGGCGGAAGGCGAAAGGGAAGCAGGCACGTTTTGTGTGGCCAGAGCAGGAGGAAGAGGGACAGGGGAGGCATCACCCATTTTCAAACAAGCAGACATCTCGAGAACTCACTCAGTATCAGGAGAACAGCATGGAGGGGATGGCACTAATCCATTCCTGAAGGCTCTACCTCCATGGCCCAGTCACCTCCCACCAGGCCCCACCTCCAGCATTGGGGATCACAGCTGGACATGAGATTTGGTGGGGACGCAGATCCAAACCATAGCAAAGGGCAGGGCGTGCGGAGAAGAGGGCTCCGAGGAGCCTGGTGGGTTTGGAAGAGAGCGAGTCTTGATCAGGGGTTCATGGCGTTTAGACCAGGGTTGGCAAGCTTTTCCCTTAAGGAACAGCTAATAAGGAGCCTCATCTTCGTGGGCCACGCGGTCTCTGGCAGCCGCTAACTCTGCCGTAGGAGCCTGAGATTGGCACAGTCGATTGTGAGAACTAGCGGCACCCTGTGCCACAGAGCTCACTCACCTGCTGGAAGTGGGCTTGGCCACACGGGTGACACTCTGACCTACACAGTCACTTGGGATTGTTTGAAAATATATTTTTAGGCTGGGCGTGGTGGCTCATGCCTGTCATCCCAGCACTTTGGAAGGCTGAGGCAGGCAGATCACGAGGTCAGGAGTTCAAGACTAACCTGGCCAACATAGTGAAAGCCTGTCTCTACTAAACATACAAAAATTAGCTGGGCATGGTGGCGGGCGGCTGAGGCAGGAGAATCACTTGAACCTGGCAGGCGGAGGTTGCAGTGAGCTGAGATCGTGCCACTGCACTCCAGTCTGGGTGACACAGTGAGACTCTGTCTCAAAAAAAAAGAAAATATATTTTAAAAAATCTCATCTAGGCCGGGTGCGGTGGCTTATGCCTGTAATCTCAGCACTTTGAGAGGCCGAGACGGGCAGATCACGACGTCAGGAGATGGAGACCATCCTGGCTAACACGGTGAAACCCCATCTCTATTAAAAATACAAAAAATTAGCTGGGCGTGGTGGTAGGTGCCTGTAGTCCCAGCTACTTGGGAGACTGAGGCAGGAGAATGGCGTGAACCTTGGAGGCGGAGCTTGCAGTGAGCTGAGATTATGCCGATGCACACCAGCCTGGGGGACAGAGTGAAAAAAAAAAAAATCTAATCTAAAGTTTAATTTGGCATCTTGAGTAGAATTTCACAGACAATTCTTGAGGCAGTATCTTAACTACTTTTACCGGTTAATCTGTTTATTTGGTGGTGAAGTCTTTGTTATGACTTGGAGAAGTTGAACAGCAGGTTATGCTCCTACTATGTTTTGTAGATAAATTAACTTTATTGTCACCGCGTTCTGCTTATGATGTGTAACCATTCTTTTCTCAGGCTGAATAACTATAAAAAGTCTTGGCTGTACAAAGTGGGGTCTCTGCTTGTGATCGGACACCTCGCAGTGAATGCCGCCTACTCAGCCACGGCCCTGTACGTGTCGCATTTCAACTACCCGGGTGGCGTCGCGATGCAGAGGCTGCACCAGCTGGTGCCCCCCCAGACAGGTGGGTACTGGAGGCGCTGCCTGGGGACCACGTGGCTCCGACCGCAGGGCTGGGCTCTCACGGCAGGCCTGGTTTTCCTAGACGTCCTTCTGCACATTGACGTGGCAGCCGCCCAGACAGGCGTGTCTCGGTTTCTCGAAGTCAACAGTGCCTGGAGGTAGGATTCACACATAGCACGACCCTCCTGGAAGCCATGTGAGGGCCCCTTGGCACCCGGGGTGGGGGATGGGGCGATTTGGGGCCCTGGGCAGGACCACTGGCTCTCATCCCACAGATATGACAAGAGGGAGGACGTGCAGCCGGGGGCGGGCATGCTGGCGTACACACACATCCTCATGGAGGCGGCCCCTGGGCTCCTGGCCCTCTACAGGGACACACACTGGGTCCTGGCCAGCATCGTGGGCACCACAGGTGTGAGTCTGAACCTGACCCAACTGCCCCCCTTCAACGTCCACCTGCAGACAAAACTGGTGCTTCTGGAGAGGCTCCCCCGGCCGTCCTGAGGGGGACCAAGCAGCCCCCAGCAGCCACAGGCCTTCCAGGAGCTGAGTGTTCTGGCACAATTCCAGCACAATTATGACAATTCAGACAAGCAAGTCAAAGGACTGTGCACCTGCCTCTCACAGACACCAGAGCAGGGCCAGGGCCTCCTCCACAGCCTCACCTGGGGCTCGCAGCACCAGAGAACAAGGGGCCCAGGTCTTGTTGGCACCCCGGGAACCACTGCCCAGGGTGATGGTGGCCTGCTCAGGGCTGGTGGGCGACAGTCATCTGTCATCCAGACCGGGTGCCATTCATGACTAATGAGCAGCGGGCTCACCTGGGCACCTGTCTGCCAGGAGGCCACGTGTGTCGTGGCGTGCCCACCCGCGGGGAGCAGTAGTTTGGCAGCACCCCACGCCTGCTGCCAGAGGGCCTCTTGGGGCACCTAAGACAGCACCCCCTCTCAGGGGAGACCATGGTGGCCCCTGCCGCCCCCCTGACCTGCTGCCACCACTGCAACTTTTATTCACCGGCATCCCATCTCCATCACAGATAAAATTTTAGGAGATAAACACATTCAGAAAGGAATGAGAGAAAAAGAATAAGACAATAAATGTTGATTGGAACCTCTCAAGATTACAGAAAATAATGAGAATGAAATTTTAAAAATGTTTCCTATGTGATAGCTTATCACAGGTGACTATTCCAGGTGTTATGGTAAAGGGACAGCTTGGTGCTGTCAGCTTCACTGACTGTGCATTTATAAAGCTCCAAAGTACATGTGATGCTGCTGGGCACTGGAGACAGGGGACTAGGTGCTGCTGCACATATATGCACACATACCACACACACATGCACACACACAATGCACATGTGCACACACCATGCATACACACTACACACACATGCACACATATAATGCACGTGCACACCATGCGTACACACTACACATTCTGCAATTGCACAGGTGCACACCATGCATACATACCACACGCACACACACTGCACATGTGCACACACCATGCGTACACACTACACATGCATACAGTGCACAGGTTCACACACCATGTGTACACACCACACGCACACACAATGCACATGGCCTGCACACCATGCATACACACTACACACACGCACACATACAGTGCACGGAGTGCACACACCATGCGTACACACCACACATGCACACACACACAATGCACATGTGCACACACCATGCATACACACTACACACACGCACACATACAGTGCACAGGTGCACACCATGCGTACACACCACACATGCACACACAATGCACATGTGCACACACCATGCATACTACACATGCATGCGCACACACTGCACATGTGCACACATGCGTACACACTACACACACATGCACACACTGCACATGTGCACACACCATGCGTACACATGCACACAGTGCACAGGTTCACACACCATGCATACACACTACACATGCACACACAATGCACATATGCACACACCATGCATACACACCACACACACATGCACACAAATGCACACGTGCACATCATACATACCACACACGTATCCACGCACACAGTGCACACGTGCACACACCATGCATACACCACACACGCACACGTACCATGCATACACGCACACACCATGCATACACACCACACACGTGCACACCCCCATACACACCACACATGCATGCACACACCACACATGCGTGTACACACACGTGCATAAAGACATGATTTCTTCCTGAGCTCTTTGAGAACTTGTGGCTGTTGGCCCAGGTACCCTGGGGCTGCCTGTCCACCTGATGCCTCCTGGTTTTCCCATTGCATCTGGCGAACATCTATGCAGACACTTCCTGACTCCCACAGAGGCCAGATGGTGAGGACTGGAGAGCAGGCTTCCCGGCTCCAGCATCCCACAGACATGGGCTCCCTCCCCCATCCATTCATCTGTGTGTCTCAGGTATTCAGTGGTTATCCATGCTCGTTCTCTTTTATCACTGGCCACATGGGGATTGCCTCCCGACTTCAGTGGTCTGTGAGTTGCTCCTGTCTTTAATTATCCTGGTGTTCAAAGTGTACGAGATTTGCTAGTGGGAACCCTACCACGCTCTGCCTGTGCGCCGCGCCTCTCCTTCGAGCACCTCCTCATGACCAGGCATGGCAGGGTATCCTCTTGGGCCTCTGGCCTCCGCCATTGCTCTTTGGGGCTTGGCTCCCTTTGGTGGGGAACAGCGTTAGAGACCAGGATCTAGACACGAGGTGTGCTCGATGCCACAGGGTGCCTGAGCTTTAGGCCCTTTCTGTGGACAGCTAGGGAGAACAGACGTGCTGACATGCAGACATACACATACATATGTAATATGCGTGTACAGATCTGAAACAGCGCAGAGCCGTGCGCGGATTCTGTCCCACCTTGCACGGTTCTCCCCCGCCCCCATCTCCACCCTGAGGACCCTGGCTCCCAGCAGCAGCAGCATCCTCAGGCATCTGCTGGGGGGTCCGGCGTCCTCAGGCATCTGCTGGGGGGTCCAGCGCACGCCTGCTCAAGAGCTCCAGCGCAGCTTTGCCACCGGATTGCAAAAACAAACCCACCATGAAGAGGTCGGGATTGTGTGGAGTTCACTCCCTGCCCCCAACTGCGGGTGCCGTAAGTGCTGTGCTCATGAGTTCCTTGGATAGGCTTCTCCACCATCAGTGTTGTGGTTCCTTCATTGGAAATACAGCTGGGTTCATTCTTCCCGTTTGCTTTCAGTCTTGTGCCTCCCACCACACCCCACGCCCTGTCCTGTTAGGTTTGTAGAGTGTGACCATCCTTCTAGATGTCAAAACTGCCCCTAAAGACAGACGCAGGGAGCCCTCCCGTACCTCCTCCTCACTGTTTGGTATTGAGCATAGTTGTCTCCTGGTTTTCTCGCGTGTTTTATTTTGTAAAGATGAACATGTACACATGTATTCTTCTTTCTTAGATGGAGCATTCTTGTTTTTTTTTTTTTTGAGACGGAGTCTCACTGTGTCGCCAAGGCTGGAGTGCAGTGACTGGATCTCAGCTCACTGCAAGCTCTGCCCCCCGGGTTCACGCCATTCTCCTGCCTCAGCCTCCCGAGTAGCTGGGACTACAGGCGCCCGCCACCTCGCCCGGCTAGTTTTTTTGTATTTTTTTAGTAGAGACGGGTGTTTCACTGTGTTAGCCAGGATGGTCTCGATCTCCTGACTTTGTGATCCGCCTGTCTCGGCCTCCCAAAGTGCTGGGATTACAGGCTTGAGCCATCGCGCCCAGCCCAGACGGAGCATTCTTTATATGCTCTTCTGCACTCTGGCTTTTTGGTTTTGTTTCAGAGACAGGGTCTTGCTCTGTTACCCAGGCTGGAGTGCAGTGGTGCAATCATAGCTCACTGTAGCCTCCATCTCCTGGGCTCAAGCCATCCTCCCACCTCAGCCTCCCGAGTAGCTGGGACTACAGGTGTGTGCCACCAAGCCCAGCTAATTTTTTTTAAGTTTTTGTTGTAGAGATGGGGTCTCTCTATGTTGCCCAGGATGGTCTTGAACTCCAAGCTTCCAGCAATCCCCCTACCTTGGCCTCCTAAAGTGCTGGGATGACAGTCGTGAGCTTCCAGCCACACATTGTTTTTTTCACATAACTCTGTCTCCTGGAAACCATGGTGTCGACGCAAGGATTTCCCTCACTGTCTTTTAGAACCACGTGGCTGGCGCTCTGCCATGTGATGGGCTGCAGTTCCCTAGCTGCTGTCCTCTCTATAGTCGGTCAGGTTATTCCCGATATTTTGTAAATTCAGATAATGCTGCCATGAATAACCGAGTGCCTTTGTACTTTCAGATTGTTCGAGGTGTGTCTTTAGGGTGAATTCCTGCGTGTGGCAGCGCTGGGCCACAGGGTGACTGTGCATTGGTTGCATTGGGTATTGCCATGTTCCCTCCACAGGGTGGTCCCATTTTGCAACCCCACAGGGCCAAGTTTTTTTAATTGGCCAGTCTGAGGGATGAGTGGTGGTTCAGTGTTATTTCAGTCATTTTTCTTTTTTTCTTTTTGTTTGAGACGGAGTCTTGCTTTGTCACCCAGGCTGGAGTGCAGTAGTGCGATCTTGGCTCACTGCAACCTCCGCCTCCCAGGCTCAAGTGATTCCTCTGCCTTAACCTCCCAAGTAGCTGGGACTACATGGGCGCACCACCACGTCTGGCTCATTTTTTTGTATTTTTAGTAGAGACAGGATTTCACCATATTGGTCAGGCGGTCTCAAACTCCTGACCATGTGATCCACCCACCTCGGCCTCCCAGAGTGCTGGGATTACAGGTGTGAGCCACCACGCCCAGCCTTGATCATTTTTTTTATGAGTGAAGTTGAATGTCTTTTCATAGACTAATTTTTTGGTGTTTTTTTTTTTAGAGATGGAGTCTCACTGTGTTGCCCAGGCTAGTCTCCAACTCCTGGGCTCAAGTAATCCACCTGCCTTGGCCTTCCAAAGTGCTGGGATTACAGGTGTGAGCCACCGTGCCTGGCTGGGGTTAATTTTTTAATATGATGTGAGGTATGGATCAATTTTTTTTTTTTGTCTATGGATATCCAGTTGTTCTAGCCCCATTTGTTGAAAACGTTATCCTCAGTGGTGCACGCCTGTAGTTCCAGCTACTAGAGAGGCTGAGGCAGGAGGATCCCTTGAGCCCAGGAGGTTGAGACTGCAATGAGCTGTGATTGCACCACTGTGCTCCAGCCTGGGTGACAGAGAGACCCCTATCTCTTAAGAAAAGAAAAAGAAAGAAAATACTATCTTTTCGCCACTGAATTGCCTTTGCACTTTTCTCAAAAATCAATTCACTCGGCCAGGCGCGGTGGTTCACGCCTGTAATCCCAGCACTTTGGGAGGCCGAGCTGGGCGGATCACGAGGTCAGGAGTTCAAGACCAGCCTGGCCAATATGGTGAAACCCCATCTCTACTAAAACTACAAAAATTAGCTGGGCATGGTGGCGGGCCTCTGTAATCCCAGGTACTTGGGAGTCTGAGGCAAGAGAATCACTTAAACCTGGGAGGCGGAGGTTGCAGCGAGCCGAGATCGTGTCATTGCACTTCAGCCTAGGTGACAAGAGCAAAACTCCATCTCAAAAAAAAAAAAAAAAAAATCAATTGACTCAAGAGAATAAGAAGACAAACCACAAACTGGGAGGAAATGTTTGTTATTTGTGAAAGACATATCTGATAAAGAACTGGGTCAGGTGCGGTGGTTCACGCCTGCAATCCCAGCATTTTGGGAGGCTGAGGAAGGAGGATCGCTTGAGCCTAGGAGTTCTAAAATCAGCCTGGGCAATATAGTGATACTCCGTCTCTACAAAGAACAACAACAACAAATTTATTCAGGTGGGATGGTGCATGCCTGTAGTCCCGGCTACTTGGGAGGCAGAGGCAGGAGGGATTGCTTGAGCCCAGGAGGTCAAGGCTGGGCAACAGAGTGAGACCCTGTCACACAAAAGAAAGAAAGAAAGAACTGGTATCCAATATATACAAAGGACTCTTAAAACTCAAAAAATAAGAAAACAATGTGATTGAGGCCGGGCGCGGTGGCTCACATCTGTAATCCCAGCACTTTGGGAGGCCAAGGCAGGCAGATCACGAGGTCAAGAGATTGAGACCATCCTGGCT